GACATAAAATGTGTTACATTAATCATTTGCAAATGTTAGGCTTGCCATATTCAATTGGTCTTATTCTTATTGGATTGGGTTCATGGGCTCCAGGCCTTTATTTTCAAGTTGTATGTTATCTAGATTTTTAAAGTTATAAATATATAATTACTAGTTTTTTTTTGTTTGTGATTCATTGTATTTAATATTAAAAATATATTTATAAATTTTTATTTTTTATATAAGACATTCATCATATTATTTTTTGAATTAGACTTTTTATTGGTCTGAAGACGATGTGCATTCTTAGGATATTCTCAATTTAACTGAAGACGCCATACAGTTGTAGAGGCTTATATTTAACTTAAAGATGCGTGAAACACCTAACGTCTTTAAATTGATATTGTTCAATTCACCTTAGATGTATAAATAATCTTCAAAATAGATTATATTAAATATTAAAAAATTCAATTACACTATCTCAATCATTCTATTATTAAAATATGGTTCATTTTATAGGGCTGATAACCGACCAAGGTTTATCGCCACACAAGTCTCTTTCAATGGGTGATTTCTTCACACTACCATATGTTTCCGTGGGCAACTTCTCTTTTCTTTTTTTAATTACAGATTTGATGTATTAAATTACCGTAAAATTAATGAGTTTAGGTTTCAGTACTGTAGTGGGTAGGTAGGTTGGTTGAGAATTAATACAGTAGTTTAGGTTTGAGTACTGTATTTGGTATTTATGTTGGTAGGGAATTAATACAGAATTTATGTTTAGGTGAATTTTGAAAGTTTTATTATTAAAATTAGTTGATTGTATAAAAAGGAATGATATTTAAAGTGTTTAACATACATAAATTATAAGTTATTAGAGAGAAAAATTAAAAAATAGTAGAGTAAAAAATGATTAAAATACATAAAAAAAATACATAATTAGAGAAAAAAAATAAAAGAGAATTGATTTAATAAAACTCTTAAATTTGAATTACCTACGAAAATCGTATATCGATAGTGAAATAGGTCAGAGGAGGTTCGAGTAGTGGACATGTCCACTACCATAAAATGGAAAATATCAAAAAAATAAAGTTATAAAAATGAATAAATGTATCAATATAAAAGTGAAGTGAGGAATCACAAAGAATGATGTAAATATATAGGACGAGATTGAAAAGTTTGGTATAGTAATAAGATATTTATAAAATCTGACGGTCAATCCAAGTATTCTCCAGATTCTAGTTCGTCAGAGATAGATGAGAAGGGTATTTTACTGTCTTCAATGTCGTCAGAGATAGACCGAAAAGATAGGTGGAAACAGTTGAGAGTTTTTAGATCGTGCCTTTGAGGTAGATCGTTACATTAGATACCTCTGTAAATCTTATAAACCTAGTACTCTAACGTAATGTGCTTGAGCATATTGTCTTCAAGAGCACGGCAAACCGTAACCATTTGCGTAGTAATTTGTTCCTATCTAACTCATTAACTCCTGTATTAAGGGGAAAAGAAAGAGATCCAAAATCCAAGAGACTGAAATCTTATCCAGAGCGTGAGGATGGTTATTAAACCATATCCCAACTATGCAAAATTCATCTAACATTTTTGTTTACAGTTTGCTCTCTGGGCCCAACGACCTTATCTTTTTCTCCATCTCAAAACCTCTGTTTGACCCCCAAAAAAAAGTCTCTGATACATTATCGGTACTACTACTGCCATATTTTAATTTCCCATCATCTTGTAAATATGTCGACCATCATCTTGTAAATATGTCGACCATCATCTCTTGCAACACTTACTCTTCTTTATCTACCTCTAAATGGAATAATCCGAGCGTACCCACCAAAGGTTCAATCTTTTTAGGGACTCCCAAGAGTTGTTCTTGTCGGAATCGACAGTTCTTGCCCAAATGTAGTTCCCACAAGCATGCTCGCTGTCAGCTTCAAAATGGGCAGGTTGGGTCTTCTTCCCCCCCCCCCTTTTTTCTATGATGCTACATTTATGAGGTTAAGCGTTTGATGTATTGGACTCGTTAGGGAAAAGCAAGTATTTTTTTTCCTATGTGAATTTGATCAAATGATGCAAGTGGGTGATTCTGCTTTGATTCTATATATGTGTATGTATGTGAGTTTTGGTTAAAGATTGATTTTTTAAACCATTTATGTGAATACGAAGTTCGGTGTTTTAGCAGAAAAAGAGGTCGTTTTCCTTGAAGGAATGTGCAATCTCAGTTGCTTTGGCTGCTGGGTTGATAACTGGAATGCCATCACTGGACTGGTCTCCTATGGCTAATGCAGCTAACCCTTCATTGTCCGATTTGTCTGTTTTAATCTCGGGGCCTCCAATAAAGGACCCTGGAGCATTGTTGAGATATGCCAATTGACAGTAAAGCTATAAGAGAAGTACAAAAGCCACTAGAAGATATAACTGAGAGTCTCAAGGTCGCTGGCGTCAAGGGACTCGATTCTGTCGAGAGAGTACGACTCCCTTGCTTTAAACTAACTTAAAATCCTATATTTGCTTATGCTTATGGTGATAGGCATAGTGGTTGTTTCGTTCATAAATAACAATGCTCTTCTTTTGCATAAAACATAGAATGTGAAGCAAGCATCTCGATCACTCAAGCAAGGGAAGAGTTCAATTATCTCGGGGTTAGCTGAGTCAAAGAAGGACCATGGGGTGGAATTTCTCAGTAAGCTCGAAGTCGGGATGGAGGAACTACAACAGATTGTGGAGGATCGGAATAGAGAAGCAGTGGCACCTAAACAGAAGGAACTGCTTCAGTACGTTGGAGCGTGGGTATCTCAATAAAAAATCTTTAAAACTTATTGCTGTGGTTAGCTTTTTGCTTCTATGTGATAATTTCCCTAAGTTGCGGATGAGTGAAATTAGCCTTGATTTGTATTTTCCCTTCAAAATTTCTATGTGCAGTCCCTCAATGTTGCTTAATATGTTTTGTATTTGTTGGTAAAATGCATCAAATTTAGTCAAAGCACACTGAAAATATGTACCAAATACATAGTTTGCCAAAAAGCTGTGTTTGACCTGTCATATAGTGGTAGAGTTGTATCATTTGCTCAGGGTGTGAGGCAAATATAATCATTCCACTTGTGTCTGCGCCTCTGCTGTATATGAAGCTATGCTGGTCGGACTCTTCATTTCTCTTGAAGCATTCATGTTCGACACCCATTTCGGGAGCATGGGTATAAGGATATACTTTAACCCTCCAAAGCCCCTCTAAATACATGGAAAAACTTAAAAAATGAACACACCCATGTCCAACACTTACACCTGAGTTCGAGAAACATAGATAAGAAGTGTACCAAAATAGGTTTAGGTCTGCAACTGCAGGCATGTTTAGCCACTGTGACAAACTAGATGTATCAACCATGCCACAGCTGTTGGCACTTAGTGAGGCTCGAGTCAGTGAGGCTAAGCTAACAAATTTCAGGGTTGTCCCTAGGTGCAGTGGTTGCTTGTAATGCCTTAAAAACTGTATGATATTTTCATGACAAAATTTAGGGAAGGACTTGATAACTTAAGCCTCTTAAAATAAATTATTCTCATAGGTACCTTGTCATTGACTGCAGCTGAGATCTTCCTCGGGCATTGCATTTCTGCAGTGTTGAAGAGTATATGGTGGATGGCTTCCCTTTTGAAGTATCCGAAGAATATCGTAGTATGCCTCTTTTGAAGGGGAGAGCAGCCGTGGATATGAAGGTCAAAGTCAAGGACAATCCAAATCTAGAGGAGCGTGTATTCCATATAGTTCTTGATGGATATAACGCCCCTGTATCTGCTGGGAACTTTGTTGATTTGGTGCAACGACGCTTCTATGATGGCATGGAAATTCAGAGAGGTAACACTCGATACTGCTTTATTTGTTCCTAGTTTCTTGTTGCCTTGCAGATGGAAGTTTACAAATTACAAAGGTTATTGTATTATTATGTTTTAATCGGTCATATCATTAACAGAGTAGGACGAAATGAGACTTTTTCATTATATTTGAGATGGACATCTGTGCATATTATCAACAACAAAGATACTCAAAGCTTTTAAACCTAATTGAATTTGCTGCAGCGGACGGATTTGTTGTTCAAACCGGTGATCCCGAAGGTCCTGCAGAGGGCTTTATTGATCCTAGTACTGAGAAAAGTCGAACCATACCATTAGAAATCATGGTTGATGGGGAAAAGGCACCTTTCTACGGAGAAACACTGGAGGTCAGCTTTCTTCTTCTTACATATCAAATCCGTGAATTCATTAATCAGAACTCTAAAAAGAGTTCTCAATTTGTGTTTCTGACAGGAGCTTGGTCTATACAAGGCTCAAACGAAGCTTCCGTTCAATGCTTTCGGAACCATGGCAATGGCTCGAGATGTGAGAATTCATTAAACTTGGTTTCATCACTTGTTGGAATCATGTTCCTCTTTTCTGACTTTACTTTATTTTCCAACAGGAGTTCGAGGATAATTCCGCGTCAAGCCAAGTATTTTGGCTACTTAAAGAAAGCGAACTGACACCAAGCAACGCTAATATATTGGACGGTCGATATGCAGTGTTCGGATACACGACGGAAAATGAGGATTTCTTGGCAGACCTGAAAGTTGGTGACGTTATAGAGTCCATTCAAGTGGTTTCTGGCCTGGAAAACTTGGTGAATCCAAGTTATAAGATAGCTGGCTAAATCCCTCTTTGTAGTTTGAATTTAAAATCAGTCGGTTTTCTTTCACGTGCTTCATTTCATTCAATTCGGCAGAATCTGTAGTGTTTCAAACAGAGAATATATATTGTTTTGTTGAATTATTACATTACTTCCCCTAAAGGTGGACTCATTTTCATTTGATTACAAGGTAAAATAATTTCAGATTTAATATTTGTGTGAATGAAACAAATTAAGTTGAAAATATTGTTTCTATAATAGACCTTTACAATATTTGATCCAGATTAATTGGTCAATAGATCGACTATGAATGGTCAAAGTACGACCAAGGGAAACTAAAGGATGACTAAAGAAAGAAAGACCAACAACAACAAAAACTTTACAAAACGTATGTTAAAAATAGCACACCGAGGAGCATTTCCTAGTCAGTAAACTCCACAATTTTGGATTTTCAGATCTTACATTCTTTGCTTCTTTCCAATTCAATTAAATATGAATCAATTGGAACCCTACACTGAAAGCATCTTTAGGGTCAAACTATTATCAAGGGCCGCGATATATCCGAAAACATAAACAACCCTGAGGCTGATCATGTGGGATCATTCCCCCACCTTTCGATGTATCAATGGCCTCCAACAACGACACCACTTCATCCATCTCCGGTCGTTTATCGGGGTTGGCATCCCAACACCGCTTCATAACATTTGCAAGTGAACTTGGACAGCACCGAGGTATCTCCGGCCTTAGATTCTGTAGTTTCAAAAGTTCACGTACAATTGGTATAGGATAGTCTAATTTTTAAAGTTTCCGAAACCGAGAACACCATCTGAGATAGATTCATTTACCTGGCGGACGACTGCGGACGTCACTTCCGAGAAGCTGAGATCAGGATATGGCATGTCACAGCAATATATCTCCCACAAGCAGATACCGAAACTATACAAATCGCACTTTCTATTGTAGGGATTACCATTAAGGACCTGTGCCATTTCAATTCATCAATGTTAGATGATAAATTGGAACTCAAATGATTTCCATACCTGAAAAAGAAAAGTCAGCATATAATCTCATTGAACGAAAGCTGAACTATCGATGAACATCCACCTAAAAAGAAAGTTTTGAGCACACGAAAGTAGCAACAATCTACCCCGATCTGATCTCTTTTAGCTATAATCTCATTCTATCTAACATTTCGCAGTCTGACATTGTAGGAAAACGCCATGAACATCTAATAAGTCATGGATCCGACCTCTTTTCTAGGGTTGCTATAACAACATCATAATCACAGACCATAATTGCTTTTTAAATACTTAGCAAGCCATAATCGCAAACCCACTCACAAGAAAGAGAGAGAGAACAACTGCAAGATCGAAAACCATACAAGCGGTATAATGTATACCTCTGGTGCCATGTAACCAAGTGTTCCGGTCTCCCCGGTCATGTCATTAGGATTTGAAGCCTCGAGACGAGCAACCCCGAAATCGGCTATTTTCACAGTTCGTGTCTTATCCAGAAGCATGTTTTCAGTTTTGACATCTCTATGCACAATCTTCTGGGAATGAAGATAGCTCAACCTGTGAGGTTTTAAGAGCAACAGTGTCAACAAAATTGATTGGGGAACTTTATTTAAGTTACAACGTACACTTCGGATAGTATTCATATATTGTAAATCTAAGAGAATAAAATAGAGTACAGATAAGGCAGAGGAATTTGACCCTTGTGCGAGATCTAGTGCCAATTGAACGACTACTTTAAAGGCCAGCTTCCTTCTCCGATTTTTTATCAGGTAAGATTTCAGTGCACCACCGGGGCAATATTCAACAACAACACAACAAACATTACTTGGCATGTCAATGTGACCATTTTCGGTCTGTATGTTCAAGTCCGATGAGCCCATTGTTGCCCCTATGAACTGCATGAGTAATTTAGAACATAGATTAAAGAGAAACGTAAGTATCCAACCAATACAACAGAGACACCCCTTAAAAAGTTTTGGGATTGAGGTCAGGAACAGTGAGGAAAGGATGATTATCCGATCTTCGTACTTCCAGCATACTATACTAGGGACTACTTTAATTTGATTGCACGAATGCAGAAAGGAGAGAAGAAACCCGAAAAGGAATCAATACAAGATAAGAAACATTACCTTTGTTACATTAGGATGATCAAGCTTATGCCACATAGCAACTTCTTGTGTAAAAGCTGCTCGAAGTGAAGCTATTTCAGCTGCTGATCTGTGGCCCTCTTCTCCCCAGTCGAGAAGTTTAACTAAGCATGATGGAACAAATAATGAAAAAAGGGGGTAAAATTTTACAAACAAACAAGCAAAAGTCCAACATCTCTCTGTTTTTCAGACATGATTTAACAGGAAAGAAACATCAATTAAACTGATTTAACAGGAATGAAACATCAATTAAACTGTCCTGTGACACATCAAAGAGTTATCCATAAAAGACTAAATCTAGAACTTGATTAATGGGGTCGTTGAGTTCATGTAGTTCATCGAAAATACTTTGGGAGGTATTTTCTAGTAGATGAGATAAGGTCCATTTGGCAGCTTTATAGTTAGCCAAAACATGAAAGTTCACAACATTGATGAGGCTCTTTTAATTGTCTAGCTTTTTATCTCCAAAATTACCATAAAAGATGTGTGCATATGAACAATAAATTAGGACACATGAAAGTTTCGAAAAAGGAATAACATCAATTAAATTGCTGCATCAGTTCAACTAACTACCATCTCAAAAACTTCTCGTGAATCACGGATTTCCAGAAGTTAGATCTGCCAGTTTTGATCACAAACTGCTCTGTGAGAAAATAAAACAGATTCACATTAATGGTAAACTGTTTGCTACTACATAAGAAAATCATTTTCCGCCCAGGAAAATTCACGTAGGGTAGATGTTTTTTCGTTGCTTACAAGCAGCTTATCAAATTTTGAAAGTAAGTCTTATCAAATTTAGAAAGTAAGTTCCGATTTCATTTCCCACACTTTAACTGCATTTTCTCTACAGCCAAACATATGGAACAGTCTAAATAACATCATGAAAACAGTAACTGAAACATTAGATCCCTTAACATATTAAGCCACAAAAACACCATTGGCATTGAGGAACTCCAAATTCAGTCAGCTATAATGGAAGAACATTAATCAAATCAAGCAAGCCATGGAGAATTCAAAAATCAACATCATTGCCCCTTACTGTGAAAAATTAACAGTTTCAGATTATTTAACCTCTCAACCAGAAAGGCTTAAAGTAATGGCTTTACCTTGAATGCCTAATGCAAATTCCTATTTCATGCAGAAAAAAGTTCACTTCAAGGTGGTGTTTCAAAGAAACCATAGGAGAAACAGAGAGATCTCTATAGTTTCATAATCATCAACCAAGTGGAAAATAAGTTATTTTGAGAAAAGTTTAGTGTTTTATCACTAAATGGGTAATCAAAAACATATCTTAAACATAAAAAAATGAGAGGGGCTAACAATACCGGCAACATCTTGGCCGTCATAAACGCCACGATGAACAGTTCCAAAAGTTCCACGAGCTATAACACTTCTGAAGATAAGCTTAGAAGGATCGATCTCCCACTCTTGTCTTCTCACGGTGTTGCTTGACCTCAGTTGTTCAACACCACCTTCGCCGCCTCCGTCCTCCCCTTCCTCTTTCCTGTTCTTGTTCTTCTCCATTGTCCATGCTCTACTAAGATGCCTTTGAAGTTGCTCATCCAAGCTCTTCAGATCTATCTGATCTGCTCTTACATAACCGCCTCCACCACTCTCACTTTTCTCCATCTTCTCAAACCCAAACCAAAAATCACAATTTTATTCCTTAGAAAAATCAACAAAAGCCCCCCAAAAAAGAAATCCGAAGAACCCACTTTGCAAACTCTGTTCTTAAATTTCCTTCACTTCCTTTTCTTATTTGAGTTATTTCCTACTTTGGGTTCCTATCCAAAATCTCAACTAAAAACTACAACTCAATCATGATCTAATAATATAATAGTGTATGTATAGTTGATCGAAAGTGTGTATACATATATACGTATATTTGTATAAAAAAATGGTTATCTTTTTTCAAATATATATAAATTTATTAAAACTTATTTATATAAAAATGAAAAAGTTTCATTTTACTTCAAAAGCTCAAAACAGCCATGCGACCACATGGATTTTGTAAAACATTATATTTATATTTGTACAATTAAAATTAAAAATCTTTATTTATTCCTTCAAATTTATAAAACTTATAATTCATTTAGATATCTCGTTTTCGATATCATATTAATTGTACAATTAATAAATAGTGGCACGCATCCAAATTTAAAATTTTAATAAAAATAAATAATTTTTATAATAAAGATCACTTAAGTATATAAATTAATGTACAATTGTACTTTGAATATATCCTCTATGTGGATAGTGTTGAAAGTCAAAATGACCTTCAGTGCAAGTTGAAGAAAATTAAATGAATTTTGTTAAATATAGGGGCATCGAAAGTGGGTTGTTTTTTTGTTGATTTTTTAGGAATGGGTAAATCTTAATTTTAGTCATTGTAATTTAGGATATTTACGAATTAATCCTTAAAGCTTCAACTATAAATACCCTAACTCATTTAGCTTCAAAATCATCCAAAACATTCTAGCTTTCTTCCAATACTAGACAGAATTTAGAGAGTTTCTTGAGAGTTGTTTTCTTTTTTTATCAAGAGAGAATTATCATTGTTTTCTCCTTGGTAGATCGAGAGAGGTTGTAATTCATATTTGCTCATAGTGAAATTATTCTACCGTTGCCCGTGGTTTTTACCCTATAAAATTTAGGGGTTTTCCACGTAAATTTTGTGTCTCTTTTATCTTTAATTTTTATTTTCTCAAATTATCAGTTGCATTTTTACTCTATCCGATAGCCGTCTTCCGCAACAATTAGTATCCGAGCCTGATTTGAGTGTGTAATATCTGCTTATTGTCTTTGTGGTTGCCACCAAAAGGTGGATCCTCCAACATAAGAAAGTAAGAAGGTATTACCCATTCTTTGAAGGTTCCAGAGAACTATTCACGATAGTGAAATAGTGGGAGCTATCCGTAAAAGAAGCTATGGCAACGAAATTTGATATTGAAAAATTCAATGGGAGAAATTTCTCATTGTGGAAATTGAAGATGAAGGTCATCCTGAGGAAAGACGGTTGTCTAGCAGCTATCAGTGAAAGGCCGGTGGATTTCACAGATGATAACAAATGGATCAAAATGGACGGGAATGCTATGGCAAACTTTCATCTAGCATTAACAGATGAAGTATTGTCAAGCATCGAGGAGAAAAAGACAGCTAAGGAGATATGAGATCATCTCACCAAACTGTACGAGGCCACATCGTTGCACAATAAAATTTTCCTTAAGAGAAAATTGTACACTCTCCGTATGCCAGAATCTACTTCAGTGACGGAGCACTTAAATACACTGAACACTTTATTTTCTCAGCTTACATCTTTAAGCTGTAAAATAGGAGAACAGGAACGTGCTGAACTTCTACTTCAAAGACTACAGGATTCGTATGATCAACTCATCATCAACTTGACAAACAGTAATATCACCAGTCTAGTCTTCGATGACGTTGCAGCTGCTATTCTACAAGAAGAAAATCGGTGCAAGAACAAAGAAGACAGACAAGTAAATCTGCAACAAGCAGAAGCGTTAACATCGATGAGAGGGAGATCAACAGAACGTGGCCAAAGCAGCAGTCACAATCATGGTAGATCGAAGTCGAGAAGCAAGAAGAATTTAAAGTGCTACAACTGTGGAAAGAATGACCACTTGAAGAAGGATTGTTGGAGTCTAAATAAAAACTCCAATCCACAAGGCAATACCGCAAACACTTCAGATGATGGAGATGCTCTATGCTGTGAAGCGTCAACCACCGTGGAAGGCAGAAAAATATTTGCATATATATGGCTCATTGATTCAGGAGCAACATATCACATGACCTCAAGAAGAGAATGGTTCCATCATTATGAACCTGTCTCAGGAGGATCTGTGTATAGTTGCAATGATCATGCCTTAGAGATCATTGGCGTGGGAACCATCAAATTGAAGGTGTATGATGGAACAATTAAAGTTGTTCGAGATGAGCGGCACGTGAAAGGCCTGAAGAAAAATTTATTATCCTACGGATTGTTGGATAATAATGCAAGCAAGATTGAAACACGAAAAGGAATCATGAAGGTGTTATGTGGAGCGCTTGTGGTGCTAAAAGGCGAAAAGATAGCTGCAAACTTGTATATGCTGAAGGGAGAGACTTTGCTAGAAGCAGAAGCCTCTGTTGCCTCATGTAGTTCAAATTCTACAATGCTATGGCATCAGAAACTTGGACACATGTCAGAACAAAAAATGAAAGTCCTTGTGGAGCAAAACCTACTTTCAGGCTTAACAAAGGTATCACTTACCTTGTGTGAGCATTGCATAACAAGTAAGCAACACCGGTTGAAATTCAACACATCAAATTCTAGAGGCAAAAGTGTTCTAAAATTGGTTCACTCTGACGTATGGCAAGCACCGGTTACATCCCTAGGCGGATCAAAATACTTTGTCTCATTTATTGATGACTACTCTAGGAGATGCTGGGTGTACCCTATTAAGAAGAAGTCAGATGTGTTTTCAACTTTCAAAAACTTCAAAGCGTGGGTGGAACTTGATTATGAAAATAAGATCAAGTGTTTCAGAATAGATAATGGAGGAGAATACACAAGCGAAGAATTTGATGACTTTTACAGGAAAGAAGACATAAAAAGACAGTTCACAGTGGCGAACACTCCTCAACAAAATGGAGTGGCAGAGCGGATGAACAGAACCTTGTTATTTGGTGAATCGAGCTCCATCAACTGCAATAGAGCTGAAGACACGAATGGAGATGTGGACTGGTAAACCAGCTGATTATTCAAACCTCCATGTATTTGGAAGTATTGTGTACGTGATGTACAACTCCCAAGAAATTTCAAAGCTAGATCCAAAATCTAGGAAATGCAAATTCTTGGGGTATGCTGATGGTGTAAAGGGGTATTGCTTGTGGGATCCCACTGCCCGCAAAGTGATCATCAACAATGATGTTATCTTTATAGAAGATAAACTACAAAGAAAATAAGATGATGATAGCGCTGAAAAGTCAGAGACTACACAGATATATGTGGAAAAGGAAGTTGAACAAGGAGATTATTCTGAAGCAGAACCAACACATGATGAACAAGAACCAGAGAGTTCTGAAGCTCCAACAACTCGTCAATCAGATCGTGTGAGAAGACGTCCCAATTGACACTCAGATTATGTTATAGAAGTTAATATTGCATACTGCCTTTTAACATAGGACGATGAGCCATCAACATACCAGGAGGCAATAAACAGCTCAAATGCTTCACTGTGGATGATGGCGATGCAAGAAGAAATCGAAGCCCTTCATAAAAATAATACATGGGACCTTGTGCACTACCACAAGGAAGGAAGCCAATTGATAACAAATGGGTCTTCAAAATCAAGCGAAATGGTGACGATCAAGTTGAGAGGTATCGTGCAAGACTGATGGTCAAAGGATATGCTCAAAAAGAATGTATTGATTTTAATGAAATATTTTCTCCTGTGGTTCGACTAACAACAGTTCGAGTAGTTTTGGCAATGTGTGCTACATTGAACTTACATCTAGAGCAGCTAGATGTTAAAACAACTTTTCTTCATGGAAATCTTGAAGAATATATTTACATGCTCCAGCCTGAAGGTTTTGAAGAAAAAGAAAAGAAGAACTTGGTTTGCAGGTTGATCAAATCTCTGTACGGTCTAAAGCAGAAGCCGAGGTGTTGGTATAAGAGATTTGATTCCTTCATTATGTGCCTTGGATATAACAGACTTAATGCAGACCCTTGTGCTTATTTCAAGAGGTCTGGTGATAACGATTTTGTTATATTGTTGTTGTATGTGGATGACATGTTGGTTGCAGGACCCAACAAAGATCATATTGAAGAATTGAAGGCACAATTGGCTAGGGAATTTGAAATGAAGGACTTGGGATCAACAAACAAGATTCTAGGGATGCAAATTCACCGAGATAGAAGTAATAGGAAGATTTGGCTTTCACAAAAGAATTACTTGAAGAAGATCTTGTCACGATTCAGCATGCAAGATTGTAAGCCAATTTCTACCCCTCTTCATATTAACTTCAAATTATCTTTCAGTATGAGTCCTAGCAGTGAAAAAGAGAGGATGGAGATGTCTCGAGTACCGTATGCATCAGCAGTGGGAAGTTTAATGTTCGCTATGATATGCACAAGACCAGACATTGTACAAGCAGTAGGAGTGGTTAGTCGGTACATGGCGAATCCATGCAAAGAGCATTGGAATACAGTAAAGATGATCTTGAGATACATCAAAGGGACCTCAAATGTTGCATTATGTTACGGATGATCAAATTTATTAATCAATGGGTATGTAGATTATGACTATACAGGGGATTTGGATAAAAACAAATATACTACAGGATATGTGTTCAAAGTTGCTAGTGGAGCTGTAAGCTGGGTTTCAAAATTGCAGTCAGTTGTGGCTACATCCACAACAGAGGCAGAATATGTAGCAGCTACACAAGCCAGTAAAGAAGCAATTTGGTTGAAGATGCTATTAGAGGAGCTTGAGCACAATCAAGAGTATGTCTCTCTGTTTTGTGACAGTTAAGCGCCTAGCATCTAGCAAGGAATCCAGCATTTCATTCAAGGACAAAGTACATACGAGTTCAATACCATTTCATTCGTGAAAAGGTGGAATAAGGGACGGTAGATATGCAGAAGATCCATACCAAAGACAATATAGCAAATTTCATGACGAATGCAATCAACACTGATAAATTTAGCTGGTGTCGTTCCTCTTGTGGCCTGACAAAAATGTAAGCAACATGATGGTACAAGGTAGAAAGAATGGTGTGAAGATATGATTGTTCCAATCAAATCTTCAAGTGGGAGATTGTTGAAAGTCAAAATG